CCTTGCACGCCCACACCCAAGTGGGAAACGTGTTTAAGATCCGTGGGAAATTTTACAACTCCAGTATATGGATTAACAACATTATTATACGTGTTTACAACTTCAGTATAGGTATTCTCAACAGCTTTCTGAAGATGAAAACATGTTGCCCCTTTTACAACTTCGGTGAAGCTTTTAACAACTGAAGTATAGGTTTTTCACAACTCATGTATACCCATTAGCTAATGGGTCCCTTGCACGCCCACACCCAAGTGGGAAACGTGTTTAAGATCCGTGGGAAATTTTACAACTCCAGTATATGGATTAACAACATTATTATACGTGTTTACAACTTCAGTATAGGTATTCCCAACAGCTTTCTGAAGATGAAAACAAGTACCCCCTTTTACAACTTTGGTGAAGCTTTTAACAACTGAAGTATAGGTTTTTCACAACTCATGTATACCCGTTAGCTAATGGGTCCCTTGCACGCCCACACCCAAGTGGGAAACGTGTTTAAGATCCGTGGGAAATTTTACAACTCCAGTATATGGATTAACAACATTATTATACGTGTTTAAAACTTCAGTATAGGTATTCCCAACAGCTTTCTGAAGATGAAAACAAGTACCCCCTTTCACAACTTTGGTGAAGCTTTTAACAACTGAAGTACAGGTTTTTCACAACTCATGTATACCCGTTAGCTAATGGGTCCCTTGCACGCCCACACCCAAGTGGGAAACGTGTTTAAGATCCGTGGGAAATTTTACAACTCCAGTATATGGATTAACAACATTATTATACGTGTTTACAACTTCAGTATAGGTATTCGCAACAGCTTTCTGAAGATGAAAACATGTTGCCCCTTTTACAACTTCAGTGAAGCTTTCAACAACTGAAGTATAGGTTTTTCACAACTCATGTATACCCGTTAGCTAATGGGTCGCTTGCACGCCCACACCCAAGTGGGAAACGTGTTTAAGATCCGTGGGAAATTTTACAACTCCAGTATATGGATTAACAACATTATTATACGTGTTTACAACTTCAGTATAGGTATTCGCAACAGCTTTCTGAAGATGAAAACATGTTGCCCCTTTTACAACTTCAGTGAAGCTTTCAACAACTGAAGTATAGGTTTTTCACAACTCATGTATACCCGTTAGCTAATGGTCCCTTGCACGCCCACACCCAAGTGGGAAACGTGTTTAAGATCCGTGAGAAATTTTACAACTCCAGTATATGGATTAACAACATTATTATACGTGTTTACAACTTCAGTATAGGTATTCCCAACAGCTTTTTGAAGATGAAAACATGTTGCCCCTTTTACAACTTCGGTGAAGCTTTTAACAACTAAAGTATAGGTTTTTCACAACTCATGTATACCCGTTAGCTAATGGGTCCCTTGCACGCCCACACCCAAGTGGGAAACGTGTTTAAGATCCGTGGGAAATTTTACAACTCCAGTATATGGATTAACAACATTATTATACGTTTTCACAACATCAGTATAGGTATTCACAACAGCTTTCTGAAGATGAAAACATGTTGCCCCTTTTACAACTTCGGTGAAGCTTTTAACAACTGAAGTATAGGTTTTTCACAACTCATGTATACCCGTTAGCTAATGGGTCCCTTGCACGCCCACACCCAAGTGGGAAACGTGTTTAAGATCCGTGGGAAATTTTACAACTCCAGTATATGGATTAACAACATTATTATACGTGTTTACAACTTCAGTATAGGTATTCCCAACAGCTTTCTGAAGATGAAAACAAGTACCCCCTTTTACAACTTTGGTGAAGCTTTTAACAACTGAAGTATAGGTTTTTCACAACTCATGTATACCCGTTAGCTAATGGGTCCCTTGCACGCCCACACCCAAGTGGGAAACGTGTTTAAGATCCGTGGGAAATTTTACAACTCCAGTATATGGATTAACAACATTATTATACGTGTTTACAACTTCAGTATAGGTATTCGCAACAGCTTTCTGAAGATGAAAACATGTTGCCCCTTTTACAACTTCAGTGAAGCTTTCAACAACTGAAGTATAGGTTTTTCACAACTCATGTATACCCGTTAGCTAATGGGTCCTTGCACGCCCACACCCAAGTGGGAAACGTGTTTAAGATCCGTGGGAAATTTTACAACTCCAGTATATGGATTAACAACATTATTATACGTGTTTACAACTTCAGTATAGGTATTCGCAACAGCTTTCTGAAGATGAAAACATGTTGCCCCTTTTACAACTTCAGTGAAGCTTTCAACAACTGAAGTATAGGTTTTTCACAACTCATGTATACCCGTTAGCTAATGTGTCCCTTGCACGCCCACACCCAAGTGGGAAACGTGTTTAAGATCCGTGAGAAATTTTACAACTCCAGTATATGGATTAACAACATTATTATACGTGTTTACAACTTCAGTATAGGTATTCCCAACAGCTTTCTGAAGATGAAAACAAGTACCCCCTTTTACAACTTGGTGAAGCTTTTAACAACTGAAGTATAGGTTTTTCACAACTCATGTATACCCGTTAGCTAATGGGTCCCTTGCACGCCCACACCCAAGTGGGAAACGTGTTTAAGATCCGTGGGAAATTTTACAACTCCAGTATATGGATTAACAACATTATTATACGTGTTTACAACTTCAGTATAGGTATTCTCAACAGCTTTCTGAAGATGAAAACATGTTGCCCCTTTTACAACTTCGGTGAAGCTTTTAACAACTGAAGTATAGGTTTTTCACAACTCATGTATACCCGTTAGCTAATGGGTCCCTTGCACGCCCACACCCAAGTGGGAAACGTGTTTAAGATCCGTGGGAAATTTTACAACTCCAGTATATGGATTAACAACATTATTATACGTGTTTACAACTTCAGTATAGGTATTCCCAACAGCTTTCTGAAGATGAAAACAAGTACCCCCTTTTACAACTTGGTGAAGCTTTTAACAACTGAAGTATAGGTTTTTCACAACTCATGTATACCCGTTAGCTAATGGGTCCCTTGCACGCCCACACCCAAGTGGGAAACGTGTTTAAGATCCGTGGGAAATTTTACAACTCCAGTATATGGATTAACAACATTATTATACGTGTTTACAACTTCAGTATAGGTATTCGCAACAGCTTTCTGAAGATTAAAACATGTTGCCCCTTTTACAACTTCAGTGAAGCTTTCAACAACTGAAGTATAGGTTTTTCACAACTCATGTATACCAGTTAGCTAATGTGTCCCTTGCACGCCCACACCCAAGTGGGAAACGTGTTTAAGATCCGTGGGAAATTTTACAACTCCAGTATATGGATTAACAACATTATTATACGTGTTTACAACTTCAGGATAAGTATTCCCAACAGCTTTCTGAAGATGAAAACATGTTGCCCCTTTTACAACTTCGGTGAAGCTTTTAACAACTAAAGTATAGGTTTTTCACAACTCATGTATACCCGTTAGCTAATGGGTCCCTTGCACGCCCACACCCAAGTGGGAAACGTGTTTAAGATCCGTGGGAAATTTTACAACTCCAGTATATGGATTAACAACATTATTATACGTGTTTACAACTTCAGTATAGGTATTCGCAACAGCGTTCTGAAGATGAAAACATGTTGCCCCTTTTACAACTTCGGTGAAGCTTTTAACAACTAAAGTATAGGTTTTTCACAACTCATGTATACCCGTTAGCTAATGGGTCCCTTGCACGCCCACACCCAAGTGGGAAACGTGTTTAAGATCCGTGGGAAATTTTACAACTCCAGTATATGGATTAACAACATTATTATACGTGTTTACAACTTCAGTTATGTATTCACAACAGCTTTCTGAAGATGAAAACAAGTACCCCCTTTTACAACTTCGGTGAAGGTTTTAACAACTGAAGTATAGGTTTTTCACAACTCATGTATACCCGTTAGCTAATGGGTCCCTTGCATGGCCACACCCAAGTGGGAAACGTGTTTAAGATTCGTAGTAAATTTTATAACTCCAGTATATGGATTAACAACATTATTATACGTGTTTACAACTTCAGTATAGGTATTCACAACAGCTTTCTGAAGATGAAAGCATGTTGCCCCTTTTACAACTTTGGTGAAGCTTTTAACAACTGAAGTATAGGTTTTTCACAACTCATGTGTAACTGTTAGCTAATGGGTCCCTTGCATGGTTGTACCCTCATGGGAAACGTGTTTAAGATCGGGGAGAAATTTTACAACTCCAGTGTATGGCTTAACAACATTATTTAAAACTTTTACAACTTTAGTATCGGTATTCACAACACTTTCCTAAAGATGGGGGAAAAAACCCCTTTCACAACTTCAGTTAACCTTTTAACAATGTCAGTATATGGTTATCACAACACAGGTATACCTGTTAACCACCTGGTTTACAGGCGTGCTTACACCCTCTTTAGAAACGTGTTTACGGACTAAACCCACTTCAATATGCATTCCCAACAGCATTTCCAAGAATGACTAAACCCACCATATTACAACTTCAGTAAACCATATAACAACCCCTAAATAACGTTTCAACAACTCGAGTAAAAGTTGAACAATTGTCATAAAAGAAAATGATCAGTAATACCCATATTCTTAACTCAGTTCAAACAAAGTTCATATACGAAGATCATACTTAAAAACATAAAACATAAGGCAACAATATCAAACATGAATAATAAGGGGACTCGTCTTACAACTTCTGTCATTGTTAACAACACAGTTAAAGGAAATAACAACTTCAATATAGGTATTTTCCTAAAACCAGATCCTTCCTGACAGTACTTACAATCAGTGACAAGCTAACATTAATATTTCATCCCCACTTAATGTTTTCTTGTCACTGACATCAAAATACACATTTCACTGACTATGTGTGGCTTACGATGTCGACTTACCACATGGCACAACCCTTCATCCAAAAAAATACGAAGAGTTGCAAAATATTTACAAGCCACAATAAAAAATAACCTTTACAAAATAAACGCACACGTGGACCACCAATTTTAACTTGGGTTTGAATTTCTGCATGTTCTTTTACTGTGCCCAACTTCATGACACTGTCCACAGTGGTAAATCTTCCTGTTTTGGAATTGGGATTCCCGCCTCCTAATTCTTGGCCTTCCCGAAGGTCTACTAGTTGTGGGTGGGTATAGCCACACTTGGTTTCCTATATTTTGCAGCATATAATCATCAGGATTAGGCCTGTCAATTGTCACTACTAGAATCATGGTGTTCCCATAAATCTTCTCTTGAGATGTTATTTTATAACAGTCCTCCACAAAATCATACACATTTGCATGAACCACCCTTATTGTAGCACAAACGTGTGGACACGGAATCCCTGTCATTTGCCATGCAGCACAAGTGCATTCATGTGACTGAACATTGACATATAAGGCTCCATGCGAAGTATGTACACAGACCCTGCCACCTCCATAAGGTTCACCATGCATATGAATCGATCTAGCCACATTTTCCATCACTTTTCCATCAATGTTTGGACCCACACCATTTCTCCCGTTCCTCATTGCCACACTTGCTGCGAACATCTTCCTTGCAACCTTTTCACGATGTTCATGAATAAGTTGGGCAACATTATGCTGCCTTTCCTTTACAATCCAAGCATTGAATGACTCAGCAATGTTCGTTGTTATGTTATCCCACCGTTTATATGCAAATTTGCTCATTGCCCACTTATGAATATCACCATGATTGTTAAGCCACTGAAGTAACTGAGGACTGAAATTTCCCATCCTTGTCATTGCCTTATCAAACTCAATGTTAACCCTTGCATATGCAATGTCATCAAGCAACTTTAATCCAACTTCCTTACTAATACCACTATCTCCTCCTACCTCTGTATAATTTATTCATTTCATAGCTGAAATTTTCCTTCACGTGCCTATAACAGTATGCATGACGGTCACCTCCAAATATTGCTCCAACAGCTCCTATTATTGCATTGTGACGATCTGACACAATAGTTAATTGGATTGCACCAACTATCTGTTTTATCATGTTTAAGAACCATGCCCACTCCTCATAAGTCTCTCCTTTCACAATAGCATACGCGAATGGTAACAATTCATTGTCCACGTCATATGCTGAGGCTGATAGCAACGTTCCCCTATATGGTCCACTCAAATGTGTTCCATCTATGTACAGTATATGTCTTGCTCCAGACAAAAAACCCTCTATGCAACAACCATATGCTATGAAAACACGCTCAAATATATTGTTAACAGTTGCTACCCATTCAGCTACCGTCTTCTCATCGGTTTCCTTTAATCGTTGACATATCCATGGTATCAACATGTATGACTGTTCAGGCCTCCCTTGTATTTCCTCTAATGCTTTTTCCTTAGCCCTATATGCTTGCTTATATATCAACTTCACACCATAATCCCTTGCCAAGGTCCTCCTTATTTCATTTGGATGCTTTTCAGTGTGATCCCTTACCTCCTCAATGATAATTGATGATGTCAAGGCTGCTCTTCCACCATGTGTAACTTGCATCATCTCTTGGACATTATGCACATGTTCATTGCTGAGTCGAGTTACAACGAGGAAAGGACTTCTCTTCGCAGCTACTCTTGCTATTATCCACCAAGGACAACCTTCAACTTTGCATTTCACATGCACACATTCCTCATAATTTTTGATATATTTGTACTCGAAGTTTTCTGCAATACTAAACTTATATACTGCCTTTCTGAATTCTGTGGCATTTGCAAAAGTTTGCTTCTTTCCTAACAACAATTCCTTCCACTTCACAGCATTCATCTCGGGCATTGGTGTTGGTGCAATCTCTACTGTACTTACTAGCCTCACATGACATCCCCCACCGCCTTCTCTTACACAGTCACCCCCATTTTCATCACAAACTGTTCCGTCCATATTATTCTCCCTACTTGACAAAAAACACATTTGTTGTGACAATCCCAAGTAGTTGTCAATGCTGCATGCATAATTACAACTTTTGTTAGGAAATTCACAACAACAATATAACAAATAACAACTAAAATAACCATAAAAAAACAAGTCTCACATTTTTGGATCATCCATTACTTCCGGTGTACTCTCCTTCAATGCTAGATACACATGTGCACTAGTGTCATTATACTGAAAAAGATTATCAACTTCACTATCATCAACCAAATCTACTAATGCCTTATCATCGAGGCTCACTGTATATTTCATGTCACAAATATTAACATCTATATCAAACCATTCCAATATCATTAACCTCAACTCTTCATATCTTATCCCCTGTTTTATCGTTTTAACTCTTACACTCCCACCATTGTATCTCATTTCACCTTCAACATTATTAACAAAGTTTCCACCAAGATGAAAAATCAACGCAAGTGTCTTTGAATATGTTGACCCAATATTGCAACTCATTCTGCATTATACCCTACAACAAACAAGGAAAATATTTCATCACAATGTCATCTCTGTAAAAAGGATATTTCATAAACCCAACACAGCTACTTTCAAAGTTAACAACTTCAATATATCGTTTCACAACTCCACTTTAACTATTAACAACACCCTTCACAACCTCATTACTATGGATATTCAACCCACTTATATACGTGATCATTGCAACGCTTCTTCCAATTTCCCTCAGCTACCATCTGCTATCCCCAAAAACAGATCATTATAAACACCGTCCCAGACTAAGCTAACTCTCACTCACTACCCGACTCATACGTTCCATTCCCACAAGTTAAAAACAACAACCAATAGCCCAAGATGAATCAACTTACGATTGTTGGAGCATCGTCTCCCTCTTAAGCTGACAAAACTAACTTGCCCACAACCCTAACCTTATCTAACACTAATCAACTCATTTGTTCATATTGATGACAATTCTCACACCTAAAAAAGGAAAAACCAACACCCCAATATGAAGAACGTATGCCTTACGTAATGCCGCCCCTTACCTACTCTGAACCCTCAACGCCACATACAGAACGCAGGACCACCAAAATGAAGAAAACAGACCGCAACAGTCATGCATGGAGGATGAAACAGTCATATGATTTCAGAAAAACACTTACCCTTTCGAACCACCACCTTCTCGTCACCTTCGAGCTGCTGGAACGCACGTGTTTCTCTCCTTTCCTTCCCGCCTATCTTCCTTCGGTGTGCGGCTTATTGTGGTGCCTATGTGGTGCCCACGTTTTGTAATGGGTGAGGGCGGTTTGGTCTTTTCGTCTAAGAAAATAATCCCAATTTGGTCTGATGGTACCAAAATGGGATTTGTGAAATTCGGCAGACGTTTTTGGGCTTCTAGAGTTAGAGGTGCATTTTTCTGTCTTTTTCCCTTCAATTTAGCTTCTGAAAAAGTTAAATTAGATAAAAGTTAGATTGGATAATATGATTTATATTGAGATTGACTTTTGAAAAAGTTAGATTGGGTAAAAATAAAAGTTGTTTGGATTATGATTGAATAAGTAAATCTAATTTGTAAAATTACTAAAATGAGTATGACATTTATTAGATACTGTGAAATGAAAAAATAATACCAATTTATGTAATACAATAATTTTAAATTATTTTAATTGGAAAATTTTAAATTTAATTAAATAAATGTATTTAGATTAAACAATTACAGAACATGTTTTTTTAATATGAAAATAATTTCCAAATTTAGATTTAATTCAAATAAAAATTTCCTAATATATCAGAGAAGTAAAATGCCAAAAGAAGAAAAAAAAAAATCTCCACACAACTCTAAGTAAAGAGCTACTGAAACACATCAATATATATTCACTACCTCTTTTATTTAAAAGATTTGGATTCTCTCCACTACCCTTTCCATCCTCTACCCCTTCACTATGCTCCTTTTCTCTTCACAATCATTGGATCGAAATTCCAATAGTCCAGATTTAATATCTTATAAAAATAATGTTATTAAAAAAAGAAAAATTTAAACTGTTAAAATTTGGTCTAAATGGTTCACAACTGTAATAAAAAGAAATTGAAAAAAAATTTGTTCTATAATAACAGTCTATAATTATGAACTTTTCAGATTAGATTTTAACAATTTAAATTGATTTATCTGTTTTTTATAATAATATTTATTTTTATAAAATGTTATAAAATATTAAATCTAAACCGTTGGAGCTTTGATCCAATGGTTGTGAAGGGGAAAAAAAAAGGTAGTGGAGGGGAAGAGGATGGAAAGGGTTGTAGAGAGAATCCAAGTCCAAATCTTTTTGCCTTTTCATCTCATTCCACGCTACCCGACCTGTAACAGTGCCTTTGCTCTTGATGGGAGTAGTAGGGAGTTGGAGATTGCGAGCACGACTTAGCGATGACAAGGACAGATTGGACGAGAAGAGGAAAGGAGTAGATGAAGGAGCAAGGAGATGGAGCCAAGAAGAGAGAACGGAGAATCATTACAAAAAAAGAACATACTTTGTAGTGGTAGCCGCTACAAGTGACAATTATAGCGGTTCTGACAACTGCTATAAAAACCATCGAAGTAAATGGATTTGTAGCAATTAATGGGAACTGTGGCACACGATAAACAACCACAACATTATTTTGTAACAGTTATAAAACTGCTACTAATAACGTGATCAATGAGATCACTTCCAGACATTTTGTAGTGGTCATATAATTGCTACAACTTTCAAATTTGTAGCGGTTAATAAAACTACTACTAAGTGTCGGCAGCAAAAAATTGGTATGGTAGGAACTGAGAATTGAATTTGTCGGTAAAATTTGTAATGGTTATATAACCACTGCAAATGGTAAAATTTTCAACAAAAAAAATAATGCCATCGGGAAGATTTTGTGGCGGTTAAAAACCGCAACAAATGTGAAAATATTATTTAATTTTATTTTTTGTAGCAGTTTTTATAATAGCTACAAAATATTACGTTGAATTTAAAAAAATCAAATTTTGAAGATAAAATATAATAAATTAAATATCATTTGCAAATATAATTTTGAAATGAAATGTGTTATCAAATTTGTAATCAAGTTTTATTTAAAGTTTTGTTAAATAAGAAAATTTTAGTAATATTTTAAGTATTAAATAAATATTATTAGAAGATTTATAATTTTATAATTGCAAAAATTTTAAAAAAAATTGAAATGTTATTTACAAATATAAGAAATAAATTCGAAAGAGTAGAAAATAAAAATAAATAATTCTTGCATGAAAAAAATTATTAGTAAATTAAAATTAAATAATATGAGAAAATAAAATTAAATAAACAATAATAAAAACTTACAATTTGAAAATAGGAGGAGGGATATCAAAGGAGAGAAATGGAGGTTTTCTGGTAAAAGAAAGGAGAGGAGAGGTTGAGGAGGTGTGAAAAATAACAGGAAGAGTAGGGGTATTTATAGATGGCCGATGACATTTGTAGCGGTTTAGTTCATTTTGTAGCAGTTTAGTTCTTGTTGTATCGTTTAGATTTTGTAGCACTTTTTTGTTTGTAAAAAAAAATACTGATTTTGAAAAAATGGCTTAGAATCAATTGTTGAAAATTTAGTCTTCATCACCTTGCCTGAAATGAGATATATAAAGTCAAATAATGAGAAATAATTATAACACACACAAATTTAAGTAAGAACAAAATGTTAATTAATGTAACAAAAATGAATCAAAATTATATGTAAAAAAGAAATACTTAACAATTAGTAAATTATCATCTCCTTTGGAGAAGAAATTTGCAAAATTCGTTGGTTGGAAGGGTTTACTGTCGTAAATTATGTCATCACCAAGGAACAAAAAACTGGACCGGGAACTCAACCAGTCCAGGAAGTGGGTCAAGGGTTACTAGTCGGACCGTGGTCGAACCGGGGTCGGACCGGTCATAATAAAATAATAAAATTTAATTCATAACATTAAAGTGGAACAAAATTCATAAGTAATAAACTAATAATCACTAAAGGGAATATAAGAAAAAGTAGTTTAAATGTTGAATTGCACAAAATGAATATTACCAAAATACATATCTTCATCAATACACTAATAAGTCAAACAACACTCCCCTCCCTTCTCAAATCTCACGGCGATGGATCAAGTCAAAACTCAAAAGTAGTTTAAATGTTTATACTCTCCTTCCTTCTCAAATCTCACGGCTATAGATCAAGACACCCCCCCTCCCTTCTCATATCTCACGACAGCAGTCACAACACAGAGAGAAGCAGCTAAAACAACTCAATGCCTGAACTGAAGGTGAAAAGGAAAGGTTTTGAGCTTACCCACAAGGCTACAACTCAATGTTTGCACTGAAGGTGAAGTAGGACATCCGTGAACAGCTAAGGTGAAGCAGGACAATAGTGAGGAGAGGATGGACTATGGAGACTTGTGACTTGCTATGTGAGCTACGAAGGTGAACGGTGAAGTCGAAGCAGAGCTGTGAAGGCGAAGGTGAAGTAGAGCTGCGAATGGAGCCATGGAGGAGGGAGTGCCAATGTCAGTGATGAGGCGACGTTATGGATCTGATTTTGCTGGGTTCATGGCAAGAATCTAGGACTTGGAGTAGGTGGAAGAGATCTCGACGATTTGGTCACAGATAGGGGAGGGCTGGAGGAGGGCCGCTCGACTGAGGGCTTGAGGTGAGACTGGCAAGTTAGGGAGGGAGGAAGAGCATTTTTTTAAGGCAAACAACGTCGTTTTTGTGGCTCGGCTACCAAAAAAAATAAATCGTGTGAACCGCCCAACTGGTTTTTTCCCAGTTTAACATCGGTTTTCACCAGTTGGACTGGTTCACCACCGGTTCAAACCACCTTCGGTTTTTTCTGCAAACCAGACCGGATTGGTGATCGGTTCACTGGTTTTCCAGTTGAACTGGCCAGTCCGGTCCGGTTTTTTTTTCATTGGTCATCACCACTATCACCCACGTCATAAAGATCTCACGACTTGAGGTGAACTACCATACTCTAATCTTTATGTTTCTTGTCTTTGACATAATAAACTTGGTGTGCCTTACAGGCAAGAATGTATGGCTCATGATCTTCATATTCTCCCGTATAAATAAGCCTGTAGAAGTTAAAAGATGTGATGCCCAATTTGTCAGTAGTGAGTCCACGTGAAGTCGTTGTATTTGCCTAGCAACACTTGAATAGAGTGATAGTAAAAGGTCCTTGATAATTGAACTTAATAATATCAATAAGCTTTTTATAGTAAGGAATGCCTCCAAATTGCATGTCACTGTCACTAGCATAACTCCTTGTTCCAAACTTGCCAAAAACTCAAGAGTTTTGTGTGAGCAAACCTTGATCATGTGCTACTGTATGGAACTTGAACTCATTGACATTATATGCAGTAAACCTCCTGGCATCATCAAATGGATCATGTGCAAGACTTTTGAGTTCAGCTATGTAGGGAGTGTTGTCATTATGTATTTGACGTGTAAACCAACTTGGAAATCCTCTATGGACTCTCTTGTCTACCTCAATGGATGTTTGTGAATGAACTCGTAGCTACCGCTTGACATATCTTCTAAATTCCCTATAGTGTCATTTGTTAGAGAAGACAATGATGAAGAAACTTTAAACATAAAAAGAAAATCAGTGTATAACTTACTACAAAAAAGTTTTAACTTGAGTGCAATTTATTAAGACATGTCTGTGTGCTTGTAACTTCTTGGTAAGAGTAAGTTTGAAGTATTCAAATGCTCCAATTAGTTTCCCAACAGGAGGAAAGAAGTCGCTGGAACTAGAAGGACCTGGTAAACAATCATCAATGTGTGGGGGGCGATTGAAAGTTGTCTTGATGTCATCAAAGTATTTGGAATAGAAAGTTAGGACCTTATCTCTAGCGTAACTCTCTGCTACTGACACCTCTGGCCACGCCTTATTCTTGACATAGGATTTTAATTTTCCTAAATATCTGTATGTTTAATTAATTAATAATTAATAATTGTCTATAATTGAGTTTAAAATGTGGAAAATTGAAGGAGATAATATGACATACCTTTCAATAGGGTACATTCATCAATATTAAATTAGGCCAGCAAGTTTTGCTTCTCAAACAAGATGGACTGTTAGATGAACCATGGTAGTGAAGAAGGACAGAGGAAATATCATCTCCAAATGACATAGCGTCAAAATTATTTTATTTTGTAGTTGTCTAGCTCCTCTGGTATCAAAATCTTTGCACATAACTTTTTAAAAAATGAACATAGCTTCACCAAAATCATAGAGACATTAGAAGGGAGTGTGTTTTTAAGTACCAAAGGAAGTAATTGTCGCATCAAAACATACAAGTCATGACTCTTCAACCCAGTAACCTTTTGAGCTTGCAGATCAATACACCTTAAGATATTGCTGGAATATCCATCAAGCACTTTATTTTCTTTAATGTTGATAGGAAGATATCCTTGTTCTGCTTGGTCAATGTGAATTTAGCTGGTTGAAACTTGTCATTATTATTAGGCCAAGCATCTGGATGAATTCCAAGGGCTTGTAAATCTTTCCTAGCAGAGAGGTGGTCTTTAGACTTTCCAGGTTTGTTGAGCAATGTGTATAGCATATTATCATACAAATTCTTTTCGATATGCATGATATCAAGACTGTGGTAGATCAAATTAAATTTCCAATAAGGAAGGGTGAAGAAGATACTTCTTTTTCGCCACTGCATTGGCTAACCATTAGATGTGCCACGAGAACATCATCTACCTTGTTCAACTTCGTCAATTTTGCCAAACTCAACATCAACACCCTCTTGCTGTTGAAATATATCAATGCCAGATAAAGCAAGAGGAGGATATCTCTTTTCTTGTTTACCATTGAAGTGATTATGTTGCAATCTAAATCTATGCTTCGAATCAAGAAACTGCTGGTGACCCATGAAGCACCATTTAAGACTATGTGGAAGGCGCATAGGTTTGGAGTCAAAGTTGCACTCAGGATAAGCCAACCTCATATGTACCTTCTAATTAGATAATGTTCCCAACCTAGGAAAATCACGAGTTATCCATATTAACACTGCGCGAAGGTTGAAAAGTTTTTTCTCTTATGAGTCATAAGTTTCCACACCAATCGTTCACAACTCGATCAATTCCTATATCAATGGTTGTAGGTAGATGTCCATATCATTTCCAATTGGCTTCTTGCTAGGAATGATCATGGATAGCAAAAAAGAGCTAGGTTTCATACACATCCAAGGCGGGAGATTATACGAAATTAACACCACAGGCCATATACTGTAACTGGTGCTCATATTACCAAAGGGATTAAAACCATCGATCACCAATGAAAGTCAGACATTTCTAGGACCAGTAGCAAAATATGGAAACTTTGAGTTAAATCCTTTCCATGCCTCAAAATCTCTGCCATCTTTGATGACATATATATTCTCTGTAGGCACGGCTTCAAAGGAAAGTACCTAAGAATTGAAATGTGAAAATATATAGTAGCAAGTTGACAAAATAATTGTAAAAAAAAAACAATGAAGCAAATATATCATTGAAGTAATAAAATAATTTAAAAAATAATAAAGCAAATATATTATTACCTTATTAACGATATAATTTCTAAAGAAAAATTAAAGCAATTATACTAGTTTATTAATGACATAATTTGTAAAGAAAATGAAAACAATTATGATTAGTTTAATAATGAAAAAATTTATAAAAAATTTAAGCAAATATTAAAGCAACTAATACATTAGAATCTTTACGGGTTTCTTCTTCTGCTTTTCCTCCTTCCGTGTGGGCTTATACCTAGATGTCTCGCACCTTATACAAGTCTCTCTACTAGCATACTCTCCATAATATAACATACAATCATTTGGGCAGGCATCAATTCTCATGTAGTTCAAACCAAGCTTGTTAATCATCTTCTTCACTTCATAAGATGATGATGGGAAATTCGCATGAGAGAATGCATTTGTCAATAATTCTAGGAGCATTAACATTGCTTTGTCTGTGATACTGCATAAGCATTTTATATGATATAGATTTACCATGAATGATAGCTTTGAGTACTTTGTGCACCCGTGATATAAAGGCTTATCAGCATTATCCATAAGATCAAAAAAACTTCGAGCAGCTTCGTTTCTTAGGAACTCTGGTTCAGGTCCCTGTACTTCTTCAGTTGATATGTGTTCGTGAATCCCAAATGCATCATGCACAACATCATTGATAGGGTTAGACTCTTCTGCTTCCACTCCCATTCGGCAAAATTGCAGGAGTTGACTGAGCAATCATATCGTGTTGCTTACCATGGAAAGACCAAAACGTATAATTTTGTGGGAAAGGCTTTAAAATTAAATGGTCTCTAACAACATCTTAAGGGTTCCACTTATTGAAATTGCATTTAAGACATGGGCAAAGAAGCTTACCATTAGTAGTTGCATGTGTAGTAGCAAATTCTATGAACAACATTAATCCAACCAAATATCGTTGGGACATACGCGACAATTTGATCCATGACTTATCCATAATTTATGTAAGCAAAAGCAGGGAAAGATTTCAGAGAAAAGCTCAAATGAAAGTGAAAATGGCACTTTGAAAAGTCTAAGTTGGTTAAAAAGGAGTAAAGCAATGGTCAAAAAATCTGTAGCGATTAAATAACCACTACAAAAAAAGTTGCTGCTAAATCCAACGGTCACACATTTACAGCGGTTAAATAACCGCAACAAAATAACAAACTGTTAGTAACTCCAACGGTAAAAATACTTGCAACAGTTAATTAATCGCTACAAAAGAAGAGGCACCAAATTCAATTTTGGCCATTGTAGCGGTTAATGTAACTGCTAGTAATTTTTGTAGCGGTTTTCCAATATGTAGCGGTTTATTAATCGCTACAAAAAACAGCAATGGAGGGAAATTTGATTTCAAATTCCAGCATTTGAAGCGATTTATTAACCGTTACAAATTGTAAACCTCCACAAAGTATTTTTTTATCCAACATAAATGTTGATTTTATTAATTTTAATTTCCAATTTAATACTTACATTTTAGTTTAATTAATAAATTTAATTCATGTTTAATTTTTATCAAGTAATTATGAAGTAATAAAAAATGCTAATACTAATTCAACTATTTAGAATCGAATATAAACTTTGAATTAAAATTTGAAATATTGTCTTGTTTATCAAATATAAATATTCTTTCTTGAAAATTTAAAAATTTCTATTTTAATAAATTAGAATTGAATTATATATAATTTTAATTTGATTATATTGTTTTTATTAATTTCAATTTCCAATTTAATGGTTATTTTTTAATTTAATTAATAAATTCTACTCATGTTTAGTTTTATCGAATAACTTTTAATTAATGAAAAATGCTAATAGTAATTCAAATATTTAGAATTGCATGAAAATTAAAATTCAATTATTAATAACAGTAATCCATAAATAAATAAAAGTTTGAATGATAATAAAAATAAAAAAATCCTCAAATATTGGCCCTCTGTGATGACTCCACAAAATCATCATCATCTGTATTGGGCTGGGATTGGGGTTGGGACGGTTGGGACAGAAGATCATCATCCATAATTTCAATATCAGGCAGGATAGGAGGAGGAAGGTCAGGAGCTACCCTTTGCCAAACAATCTCCATCATCGCATTGGCAGCTTTTATCCACTCCTCATATGTAGCCTGCCTCCTGGCCTCACGAGCCTAATACTAGGCGTCAAACTCCTAACAAAGCTGCTCTACTATTGGCTCTCTCGAACACCTTATGCCAGAAAAGGTCTGGTGTGATGCTACTACTGACTATGAGGTCCCCACCTTAGAAGACGCATGACGGCCCCAACTGTAAACGGCACTTAGTGTGGCACCAAAACTGAGTCCCCTAACTCATCTCGGGTGCTCGGGTCTAGCTAAATCTACCTTGAGTGAGGCGGTGGAGTCCACAACTAATCCTTGAGACTCTCGCAACTCTGCAGCACACTGGGTCATCCTCTCCTACCAAAACAATTTTATCAAATTAAATAAAATTAACATAATCTTAATAATAAAAATGTGAACATTAAATTTAAATACTAAATAAACAATAAAATTGTAATTAAATATTCACAGCAACTTCCTTGGCCCGCTTAGATATAGGAGTGTTGTCCCTATGCCTATAGAGCTGTGGCCACATCTCGTCATAGGTTGGCGTTCGTCCCTTCTTCTGCTGCATCTTCCTCCCCTACCAATTTATAATAAAATTTTTTTTTTCAATTATTTAAATTCATACACACACGTACATATAATTTGATTAAATTCGCAGTATCACTCACAATTTCATTATAGGTCACAGCAAATGACTTCGAACTAGCCATATGCTGGATATCCTAATGGCCACGGCTCATAGTGTTTCTCCGAGAAAGACGCTGCAATAAAAATATAATAAATTTAGTTAACTTGTATGCAATAACATAACAATAATGCAATAAATTAAAGTCACATCCTCTACTAAGGTGTCACCTTAAGTTGGATAAATGATGCCCAGTCATTAGCAAGGACGCCATCTGGCACATCTGCCTACATCTCCTCCAGGAGTCTCGTCCTGTCACCTTTCTTTGCATTGTACAGGCGGTCCCTCCTGTTCTTCCAGCCGTCCCCTACCTTCTTCAGGGCGTATATCTTCATATTATCCCCGATGACAAATGTTTTCAACAATTAAAAAAATGAAATCATGATTTAATTAGTAAGAAATCAAATTCATAATGTAAGTCATAATTATTTTAAGAAAAATATTTAATCCTAAATTTCAAATATTAATTAATTACCTTTAGCAACTCCCAAGTATCGCTCTTGTTCGTCTGTGACATCCTCTTCTAAGTGGGCTTATAGATGGGAAACATCATGTACTGTCCACCTAGATAAGCCAGATATCAGTTGAACAGATGTCCTCCCAGCTCAATCGGTTGCCCGTGCTCATTTAGAGGGACTATGACACGTGCATCCTGAATGTAATGCATGTCCTTCACGTTCAATCTCCTCGTGGACCTATTGCCAGCTAGGTCTGCACAATTAAATTGATAATCAGATAATATCAATAATATTTAATTATTAATATTAAATAACTTATTTTACTTACCCACAACCTCCACCTCCCAATTACTCAACCGTCCACGAGGACCTGTACCTCTCCCTCCACAAAACCCTCAAATCCACCCTTATTCCCCCCAGGTTGGATCAAAGTGCTCATTGATCTCATAATCTTTCACGCTGATCATGGGCCCTTCATCCTCCTCTGTCAGCTCCTCGGACGGCCTAGGCCTCTCAAGATACCAGCGGGTCTCATAGGCTCAATAGGATCTTTATCGTGTCGATGAGCCATGCTATTTAAACCACAAATAATTAATTAAATAATACAAAATACAAGATTTATTAAACATGACTTTAATAAATTCTAAACATTTTACAATTATATTTGAAACCATAAATAAAAATTTAAAAATTTCTACCAACTCCAAGTTTCTGAAATTAAATAAAATACTAGAAAATGTAATTAAAATAATATCATTCCTAATGTCTAATAAAATTAATTACTAAATAAACAAATTTTATCATTAAACAATTACAAATAACATGCAAACTAAAAAGATTGAAGACAATAAAATATATAATAATCACAATTAATAAATTCAACAATTTAAATCACATATAACTAATTAAACAAAATACAAAACTATTTAGATATGGATTTAATAAATTCTAGACATTTTATAATTATCTTCCAATTCATAATTAATAATTAAAAAAACCAATAAATTCAAGTTCTTTGAATTAAATAAAATACAAATAATTGTAATTAAATTAATATCACTCCTAATGTCATATAAATTAATTACTAAATAAATATATTTTATTATTAAATCATTATAACTAACATGCAAACTTCAAAAATTTAAAACAAATGCGAGATATAATTATGAAGTCAAACAATATCAATGTCAATTAAATAACTAAACTAAAATGAAAT